GTTCTTTTCCATGCGGGATAAGTGTCCAACCCATAGGTCTATAGTACAATGTTAAAGAGTAAAAGATTGACAACAGACCTGAATATCCTTGTCAATAATGAAGTAGGGTGTGGTTGGAATATTTCACCTAAACACAGCTATATCAGCTTAATTAATTAAGCAGTTCTTTTCCATGCGGGATAAGTGTCCAACCCATAGGTCTATAGTACAATGTTAAAGAGTAAAAGATTGACAACAGACCTGAATATCCTTGTCAATAATGAAGTAGGGTGTGGTTGAAATATTTCACCTAAACACAGCTATATCAGCTTAATTAATTAAGCAGTTCTTTTCCATGCGGGATAAGTGTCCAACCCATTGGTCTATAGTACAATGTTAAAGAGTAAAAGATTGACAACAGACCTGAATATCCTTGTCAATAATGAAGTAGGGTGTGGTTGGAATATTTCACCTAAACACAGCTATATCAGCTTAATTAATTGAATCAGTCACTGACTTGTTAATCAATTTAAAATTGAACCTCAAGACACAAATAATTTTTATATTGATTACAACACTAAGAGAGGAGAACTGCTCATATGGTACTGGCTTTGAGATTTCATCTCGATGGTCTCAGATTCAAACCCTTTCTGCTGCTTCAACACAGCCTCCCCCCCCCCCCCCCCCCAATCATGTGGGGGGGTTTCGGCTAAGATCTAATAATCTTCAATTTAAAAGAAAAATCTTAAACATGTAAAAATAAAAAACTCAAAACAAGACTAAAAGTACCACATTGAAGCATTTGATTTAACAAGAGTTAAGGGTTTAAAATATAGCAGCTTGAGAGAGCAAAATTAATGGACAACGTTTCTTCAACATTATTTAGAAGACAGCACATATAGTTCACTTTAAATCCCTTAATTTAAGTGGATATAATGTAAACTCCAACTACTGTAAAATATCATCTATTATTTAAGAGCTGAAATGAAAAAAGGCGCTCACTATTGTATGTTTTGTTGTTTTCTTTACATGTTAAGGATGTTCTTTCAGAATCAAGAGTAATACATCCTTTCCCCACATGTTCTGTAGGTCAGTGGGGTATAATAGAACGCAGAGTTTAAGCCCGGGTAAATCAAGATGCAGAGCACAAACACATACAACTTAACCAGACTCCATTCTACATACCAGTAGGTGTTCCTCCCGCTAATGTCCCTGTTGGTGTTCCTGAACCCAGCATAGATGCAAAATCAATGTTTGGAACTAAAAGAAAAAAAAAAAAGAAAGACAATCTACAGAGATATAAAACATAATAAACACATAGCTAATTCAATGTTTATTGGCTAGGTTTTTGCCAATGACATCTCCTCTCCCATACACAACAAAATGCTCAGACCAATCTGACCAGACTCTTAAAAATAGCGAAAAAGACTGGACTTCTAATCAACAAAAAGAAAACAGAAGTTATGAGGATTAACAACAGACAAGAGAACCCAATCATGCTACAGGGAGAGAATATCCTTGATACGGACCACTTCACATATCTGGGAAGTAGAGTTGGTAAAGACGGCGGAGCTGATGATGATATAATTCGGATCAATAAAGCTAGGTTTGCCTTTTCAACTCTTCAAACTATTTGGCGCTCTAAGGCATTATCTCTACACAACAAGATACAAATCTATAATACAAACATTAAGTCTGTCCTTCTATACGATTCAGAAACTTGGAGAGTCACTAAAACAAATATGGAAAAGCTCCAGACCTTTGTTAACAGATGCCTACGCCTGATATTAGGAATTAGGTGGCTAGAAAAGATAACTACTATCGATTTGTGGGAGAGAACTAGACAAAAGCCCATAACCCAAGACACACCCTGCAAAAACCAGCTACCAATGTTGCAAGGCAGGCACTTGACTGGAACCCAGAAGGAAAGAGGAAAGTGGGCAGACCCAAGCAAACCTGGAAGAGGTCAGTCATCAGTGAAGCTGAGGGTACTGGAATGACATGGGAGCAAATGAAGAAAGCTGCTTAGAACCGAATTTGGTGGAGAGGTGTGGTTGCGGCCCTATGCTTCCCTGGGAGTGCACAGGATTTAGTAGAAGTAAGTAATAATATAAGAGAGCTTATCAATAAAAAGACAATTTAAAGATAAAATGATACTGAGCGTGAAAAAAATAGATATGAAACTATTGTCACCTTAAAGCAAAAAAAAAGGGTAATAAATAAATAACAGCAGCTTTTATGTAACTAAACATAAAAATATTTAAATAGCTTTAAAAATTTCAATGCAGTCTACTTGTAATACAGGGGCATACAAAGTGACAATCAATACCCACATGTCTTCAATAACAATTCCTTACAAATAACAAATTTAATACCAACATAACACTAATGAAACATATTAAAAGTAAAGTCAACTTACGTCCACCAGGGGCAGTTGGAAGTCCACCAGTACCAGTTTTAGCTAAATTGTTAAAAAAAAAAAGCAAAACTTAAGAACAAAATAATTTAATATATAGTCAGTTTTTTTAGTGACATGAATGACTTACTAAACAAAGATAATCATTGATATTTTAAAAAATCACAATTTCATCATTTCAAAAAAGAAGATGATTACGTCCTATGCATGTCCCAAAGTCAATCTAGTCATGGATGTTAATCAATGACTTAAACTCTGTCAAGTCATTTGTTTTCCTGGCTGAATCAGGCAACCCATTCCATGCTCTATTAGCACTAGGAAAGAAGGATTTTTAAGTAATAAATATTTAACAGTGACAGTCACATAAAAATAGTGTCTCCCTCAGCATAATTACTATAAAAATAACAATATAGATGCCAATATGAACAACATTCATACACATTAAACATGCACATACAAAATTTAAGTCATTGGTTAACACGCATGACTAGATGCATGACATGTAGGATGTAATCTTCTTTTTTGAAGTAACAATCTGTATTATATAAGATAAGAAGAAGATACACAATCAGCAGTTTATGACATTCCTACTGCAAAGTTCACCAACTGTGATTCATGACCCCTCCTTAATGCTCACCTTCTTTGTGAGCCAAGGATTACACCAAACCAAACATATACCATCAGATTTAATCAAAGAGATCACATATTATTCTCTTTGCTGTAAGGATAGTATTTAATACATACAAATAATTTAGAAATAAATTATCATATTTGTTTATGAGGTTATAGATTTAATATGCTTGAAACTGATATATATTTACTAATTATACTTGTACTTCCTGATGGCCGCTAAAACTTTAATATTCAGAAGTCTTTTTGCTACAAATGCAATTTTTTTATATGAAGAGGATATAGGTTATTTAACCTTGGCTATGCCAATAATAGAATATGCATCCTCTTTTGGAACCAAGAACTCAAGAAAATATTAAGAAACTGGAACAGACACAAAATAGAGCAGTGAGATTCATAACAAACGAACATTCACATTTCACTAGAACAACAGCCTAAGTAAAATCACTAAATTTAGAAAGCCTTCAGGATAGAGGACTCAAAACTCAAGTAGCAATTATACATAAAACACAACCGTAATCTTCAAATACAAAAACAAAATCAAATAAAATACTCAGAAATAAAGATAAAGGCACATTCCTCATTCCATATGCCAGGACTAATTTGTACAAATGCTCTTTCTTCCCAAGTGCTATTAGAGCATGGAATAGGTTGCTTGAATCAGCCACAAAAAAACAATGACTTGGCAGAATTTAAGTCATTAGTCAACATATGTGACTAGTTGCATGACATGTAGGATGTAATCATCCTCTTTTTTGAAGTAACATCTGTATTATATAAGATAACTAAAGTTGATACTGTGCTGTATGTTGATAAATGACTTACGTGCTGAATTGATCATGTTCATCAAGTCTGTAAGACTGGGTGATGGTGCCCCTCCTGCTGTTCCAGTACCTCCAAGTGGGGACGAAGGTAAGCCACTAGTAGACAGACCACCTATTAATTTTGATAGAATTAGTATTAGAGTACATTCAAGATATTATTTCAAGGCCTTGAAAATTAAATTATTGAATAAAGTTTTATATACATGTTTCTACCTATGTCAAAGACATAGTGAATGTTACCAGGACATTTGTAGATGATATTAATAGGGAGTAAAAGATTAAAGCATGACTTACAGACCTTGCAATCTTAAGAGAGATGATGTAAAGCTCATCTGTTTCTATGACTGATGTTAATGAGGGTGTCATGTAACCAGCACAATGACCAACCACCTTTACTTCCGAAGTCAGTAAGTGAGTTAGATGTTATGGTGTGAAAAAAATTCTATTCTAGACTGAGTTGAATATTTTAGAAAATAATCGTGCTTCAAACTAGAATGTAATGCCAAGTTGTTCATCAGTCATACCAATACAATTCAGGGCTCATTTTTTTTCTGGCTTTTCAAAAGTAGAAGAACATTTTCAACTATTATCTATCAAAGGCAATAAATATCAAATGAAAACTCTTTTAAAAAATTTGCTGTAAGGTGTAAAAAAAAAAAAAAAAAAAAGAATATTCATAGTATGTTCAATAATAAATCATTTTTTACTTACCCAGCATATCAAATCCTGAGCTGCCAGTTCCGCCTGACAATCCACCCATGCCTGGCAGTCCACCCATGCCTGGCAGTCCACCCATACCTGACAGTCCACTCATGCCTGACAGTCCACTCATGCCTGACAGTCCACTCATGCCTGACAGTCCACTCATGCCTGACATTCCACCCATTCCAGACATTCCCATCATGTCTAATCCTGTGTAATATATAAAGAGGCATTAAGGACATAACCAATTTTTGGCATCCTACAAAGAATACATTAAACAATTTTTATATTTGCAAATAATAAAATATTCCAGAATAACAGTTATTTAATCATACATATATTAAATATGATGAACAAACATTTAAATATTAGATTGTATTTAGCTAATGATATTAATGCACATTTTTTTTCTAAATGTCATAATTTACAGACCTGTTGGTGGAGGTGTGGTCTGAGGTTGTTTATGGTTTCCTAAACAAGAAAATTAATAATAAAAGTGTATTATTTGAAAAAGTTACCAACAAAGTTAGACAAAACTATTATATGGGAGATCTGACTGGTTTTCGTTAAAATATAAAGCAGACATTACTATATAATATAATTACTGCATAATAGATTTCTTAATACACCTCTTATGAATAGATGTGTCACAGAAACCTTAATGTTACACAAATTTAATGAATTGTTAAATCTCAATTTCACATACAAAACCTATTTTCATTACTTGAATAACATTTATGCAAATATCTTTAGAATAACTTATAGATGAATTAATATTAATTCAAAATAATTACTTCACAGTGTTAGTGCTATATCATGAAAGTAGATGATTAGTCAATGTTATATTCAATATCTGAAGTTATCAGTTGACAATCGAGGCATAAAAGAAAATGAGCTGTGTTAGTGTAAAAGCACTGGAAACTTTCAAGGGTGGCAATGTTAAGATAAATGGGAAAAAAGGTGGAATATTTGTCCCCATATATATTAAAATAGCCCACAACATAGGAGTAACATTGATCTCCTCATCTCTGCAATGCTAAAATGATAAAAATGATAAAAACACCCAACTACAGATTGTAAATAAATGTATTTATATGTCAAGCAACCTCCACCCTCAGAGGATCAACCACTAACTTTTCTTTAAAATGAGATGGGGACAAGCATTTCCCTTTTTTTCCCTCAGAAGTAAGCGCCCCCTTCTAGTTTCCCATACTTTAACACCAGCGCAGCTCATTTCTTTTCTGCCTCAATAGACAACATCAGACAGATAACTCTTTTTTGTTAACATTGTTTCTCTTTTTTGTTTGTTTGTAGCTGATGAAGACCTTGTGACCCAAAGGTCTTTTGTTTTGACGTTGCAGGGCAGTCTTTTCTATGTGTATTTTTATGGTATATTCTATACAGTCATTTATCCATGCAGCAGTAAATCTTTTTATTTTTCAGTCTGTAAATAATAGGATATATAACTGAGTTGTTACCTTGCATAGAATTGAAAAGCATCATTGTCATTAATGGATTCTCCCCACTAAGCATCATATCCATCATTTCAGCTTTTCAATAACAAAGAAATACAATCTGTTATATAGTTACCTTAAAGTACTTTAAGAATTTTGAGTCCATCAAATATACATTATAAATAAAAAAGGTAAAATTATTTATCACATTATAAGGATATTACATTTATATTAGAGTGAAAAGCTACTTAAGTCAGAAAATTAGACTTCAGTTTTAAGTTTTGTATTTAAAGATACTAAATATATTATAATTTAAATATATATTAAAATTTACTATTTTAAAACTAACATCGTATAGAAGGATTCAGAAATTTTATTTTAAGCAGGGTAGTCATAACAAATTTTGAGAAAATTGTGAAAGGTTATTGTACTGATAAGAATTGTCTTACACAAATTTTAATGAATAATAAATTAACTTAAATTAAACAGTAGAAGTATAGACATTTAAGAATAAACTAAAAAATCATATCAGTCTTCTTTCAAATTCTAAATAACTAAAATCAATTTAAACACATATAAATTTTCTAAATTACAGAGGTAGTTCTAGATTTAAATGACTCTTTAAAAGTTCTAATGACATATTCTAATAAATAAAGATTATTTCTATCATACTTACGATTCATCATCATCATCATCATGACTGGATTATTGAATGGATTCTGTTGTTGTTTTTGAATGGCTTGCTGTTGCTGTGTATCAAGGATACCTTCAATGAAAACATTGAAAAGGTTTGCACATAAGCAGCTGAATTAGTTAAAACATCAGATAAATAAGACAGATGAAGAATAGTAAAGCAAATAACTATTGAGATTGAATTTACAATAAGTATTTTTGGTCTAAATCCATCGTAATGGAAACTAGTTTATCACCTTTGTAAAACATAATCTATATATGTGCACAAGTGTATCATAAACTGCTAAATCTAGGTCTTGACAGAAACTTTAGAAAACCTTTAAATTTTATCTACATATCATAATAAATGTAAATATGGCTTTTAATGTGTATTATATATGCATATTATATACAATCTAATATAATTTTAGTGCCAATATTGTAATTTTATAATGGACAACTCCCTAATTTTGTCGACGTTTTCATGTACCAGGACATTTCAGGGTCCAACAATGTCATTGTCTAAAGAAATAAACTATCCACATGAGAGTATGGTGGAATAGGTCTCTTGGCGTACCAAGAAAATTCAGAGTCTATAAAGAAGTGGTTCTCATCACACTTTTGTTTGGCTCTCTGACCTGGGTTCTTTATAAGAGCCATTTAGGGTTCCTACAATGCTTGTTTTAAAGGTGCCTTTGCTCCATAATGGGCAGACCCTGGCAAGACTACTTTACAAATAACCATGGTGTGCTGGAGCCTGATAAAGACAGTAAAAATACTACTTAACAGTGAGCATGTGCTGGGTTGCACACCTTATCATTATGGGTGAGCTTAAAGAGCCCTCATGGCATACAGGAAAGAAAATAGTAGCAGATGACCTCTGATTGAAACAGATTGAGAACTCTCACATATTTCCAACCCAAAAAAGCCCTTGCAGGAGCAGATGATGTAAAGAAAAATAAAATAGCCACCTGGAAGACAACAGCTTTATTAGCACCAGATATAAAATATGCAGTTGGCAACTGGTTCACATGAAATATTGCACTCATCTTTAATCTTCAGAATCAAAGACAATGTCCTATTCTATAAATATAATTAATGTTTAAATAAAATGATTTCGGGCACAAAGGAGCAGCTAAGTCTATTTTAGCTGAGCTTTAAAAACTTGTTTTGTTTTGTTACGCAGCTAATAGAGTTGCTGACAAAATTATTAAGATTTCAGATATCATAGATCTATATTAAATTCTACAATAAGTTCTTTAGGCTGATTATGACAATGACTTGGATAAAAGATAAATTAACTACTTAGCCTTATTTAATATGTTTATTTTAAACTTCTCAATAAACATTTTTTTATGTCTTTATTATTTCTTTTGAAATTACTGTACGACAGTACATAACTATGATGAGAAGATATTGGTGCCCTTAAAGGGCTTGATCATTACAAAACATCAAATGAGAGGTCTAAATGCTTATAATTTATCTGTAGTGAGCAAACAAAGATTTTTGATTGTTGTATACCTATATTCCCCATGCCCATGCCATAATCTACTAGATTACTAGATCTAATTATCCTAATATTATTTCTTTAAGTTTTAGACTAAAATAGATAAATCTAAATACAATTCAATTAATTATAACAACCTATTATCCTATATTTATGATTCTGACAAGCATTTGCATATAAACTAAATTAACTACTTAGCTTTACTTAATACGTTTAGATCTAGTATTTGTTCTTCTGTCTCTGAATTCTTTTATAAATTATACCAATAATGGCAAAGTCAAATTAACTTGTCTCCGATTCCGAATGAGTACATTTTTTTCACATGACTACCCAAACCCATTTGCTGCCTGCATCTTGTGCAGACAACGCCGTTTATTGCCGGCCGTCAATTTAAGTTTTGCTTTCGTCTTAGGCGCCTGCCTTCCATTAAATTCCATAATGGCTTCTCTTTGGATCTCACATGTGTGTTGCGCGACATTTGTGAGAGCTCTCCAATTCTTTTAGAAGCTGTTTGTCAATAGCTCTTTTTTTTTTTTTTTTAGGGATCGATCATTAGAAAAATCAAAAGGGAAGTATAACTGTTCTAGTCTATTTTACTCTCTGGTAGTGTGTAATCGATTGCTATAAATATTTTCTATATCTTCCTAGTTTGTGTATTTAATACTAATAAAAATATATCAAAATCGAATTTTCTAGAGTATATAGATATAAGTGTGATTAATGTCTTAATTTTATAAATTAGCAAAGCAACAAGACCTTTAAGCTGATTATGACAAGGCCCCAGACCTATATATATTATATGTGGACAAGACTATTTTTAGGGATAAATCATTAGAAAAAATCAAATGGGAGTTCTAATTGTTTATAATTTATATTTTTATCGAACATCACTAAGTATATTTCAATAATCAACAAGATCTATTTTTACTAATTTAAAACTAATATTATAATGATCTATATGAATAAAATTTAAAATAAATAAATCTATTTAAACCACGAATAGCATATTTCAGGTGTAGGTGGGTTTGTGTAGTAGCTGCCTGGTATGCGTGCTGGACCGTCCTTCTCTATCTCGGTGGTCCCAGGTTCATACCCTGCCCGCTGCCATCCTCCTAAAACCTTATATAAAGCTAATAGCTTATAGTAATATGTAACATTATGTCACAAAATGTGACGAATAAGTAACTAAAATAACAATAATATTTGAAAATAACTTATTTTCCTTTTAAACTAATTTTAAAAAAAAGATTATTACTAGGCCTTAACGTCCAATATAAATGTATGTGTTTAAGTAATTATACAAATTAATTATATACTAAACTTTTATTTTAAAAAACTGGTTTTCGTGACTTCCTCAGGTAACCTGCTCAATGCTGTAATGGCTCTCAAGGAAAAAGAGAATATGTTCTAGCATAATAATGGTAATGACTTCGATTTCAAACATTACGGAAGAGTTTAATGTTTCACATGACTACGACACCTATTTGCGACTAGCATATTTTTCCACATCCGATCGTAACAAGCGGGGTCCAGAAAAAGGGAAGTGCGTCACCTACGTGGCACGACCCAGTCGTAATAATTGGTGCTTTCAATGCAAAACCAGAGCTCCCTTTCCTCGCCTGTCCGTTACAAGAAGACTTTCCAAATAGTCTTATCTTATCCAAACAGTAAACGGGATAACAGGGCCGATTTCCTAACGGACTTTTTCGTAGGTGAAGGTGCAGACAAAGTCTTTGTCGGCCAGGGGTCTATTTATCTTCTTTTTTGAAATAACGTCTGTATTATATAAGATAAGATATTTAAGTGTTGTTGTTTTTTCGTCTTCTGCACCTGTCTTATCAAGGGCTTTTCTTTAGACCTCAAACCTAACTCTCGATATCTTCAGCTCTCCAACTGTTTCTTTCTGCCAGCTAGTTTCCTTTATGCCACTGAAGCTAATGCCGTAAGAATCCGACCCAACGCAGTAGTCAAATGGGAAGTAGTGCTTCTTTACGGAATAAGTAGGTCATGAACCCAAAAAAATGATGTACTTACCACTTGGAGGTGGAGGTGCGATTCCTCCCGGAGTTCCCATGTT